TTAATACGCTTTGTGGGTTCACAGAAGAGATAATCTACCCGAGCTTCCGAAAAAAGTATTGTAAAACGTATAAAAAAAATTTTATAACAATTGTGTAACGATCTGCAAGATCGGGGCACTCGGGACGTTCACCCCTGTTATATTACGCAGCATATTAGATGTTTGATTAAACTCAGTACGTCATGATACTTTTATACTTATTGTATTGTATAAATCCGAATATCTCCGGTTTTATTAAAACCGGTCTTCGTATTATATCAGATATTCGAATTCAGATTCAAATTGAATAAAATCGGTTTTAAAATTGAAGACCGAATACGGTTCTGAACTCTGGTCTGTTCTAAACAACCGAAATCGAACCGTTGCTCGGTCCCAGTTCGGTTATCAATAACATCAGCAGCCAATCATAGCATTTATATACAATATATGCATTTATATCGTACAATATAAAAAAAATTACGTAATAAAAATAATTAATTAGGTAACAAACATTATTAAAATTAAATTTCTACTTTACAAAATTAGAAGGCAAATGGTTCTTAACTATAGTCTTGTAGTCAGGGCTTAACCCACTATATTGATTTGCCGGCCATTCAAAAGTACCATTCTTGATCTATAGTAGATTAGATAGTAATTGGCCGGTATGGTAAACAATAAGATGCACAATATACTAATTTTGATGAATCAAAAAGAACACTTTAAACAATAGCAATGGCGCAGTAAATGGCCGGCAAATTAATATAGTGGGTTAAGCCCTGCTTGTAGTCCTATTATTATTAAGAGTCCTTGTCAAGAAATCTTGACTAATGCAATTGACGTTAGTGAATTCTTGGTATAATAGTAACGTACGTACGTACAATACAGATATCAGATATCAGATATTTGATATTTATCTTGGCTCACCTCACGTATGCTTGGCTAACGTTATCGAATCTTGTTACACAAATGACGAGATACGTACTATATAAGATCCATAATTTTTAACACTTCACATCGCTATCAGTTTTACCATTTGTAAATAGCCTGCCTACCATGAATGCTATGCAATTGGCAAAAAAATTTCCACAACTTTCTCAGCAAGATGTCTTCGATCTCATTGCACGATTTAAGTACGTGCTTCAAATTTTTTTATCTGACAAATTGACAAAACTTTATAGCACATTTAATAAATTCCCGTGTTATACCTCTATCAAATAGCAAAATAGATCTAGATGGAAATGGGGCGCTTGAGCAAAAGGAAGTCGTAAAAGCTTTGCAAGATATGCGCGAAAGCAATTCTTATGACGAGATCCGTGCATCACTCAAAGAAATAAGCTTGAGTTCGACTGGCAAAGTTGAAATAGACGAATTTGTTGAGGTATTTCTTAAAAAGTTCCCTATTTTACTCAGTTATATATACATTTATCACTTTTATCTCTGCTAGCTTGTAGCAAAACTCAGAGAAGGCCGTAATAAATCTGCTTTTGCTGTAAACAAACATAAAATCACTGTTCATGGTTCCAGTCAAAATGTTTCTCATACAATTAATGAAGATGAAAGGAGTGAATTCACTAGACATATCAATCAAGCATTGTCTGGTGATCCAGATGTCAAAGATAAGATCCCAATTGATACAAATACCATGCAACTTTTTGACGAGTGTAAAGGTAATATACATTTAGCGCATATAAAATTATATTTAATAAATTAATAATTAATAATAAATTTAATAAACTAATCTTATTATTAATATACCTATGCGTGAAGACGGTCTGATCCTTGCGAAACTTATCAATGATTCTGTTCCTGATACAATTGATGAACGTGTACTCAATATTAAAAAGATAAACAAATTCAAAATGACAGAAAATAACAACCTTGTCATTTTTTCCGCTAAAGGAATTGGGTGCAATGTTGTCAACATTGGATCTGCGGACCTAATTGAAGGTCGTGAACACTTGATTTTAGGTTTAATTTGGCAAATAATCAAGATTGGTCTATTGAATAAAATTGATATTAAACATCACCCCGAATTATATCGTCTTCTGGAAGATGACGAAACTCTTGACCAGTTTTTGAAGTTACCTCCTGATCAAATTTTATTGAGATGGTTTAATTATCATTTAAAAGCTGCTAAATGGAATCGTCGGTAAGATTCTTTGGCTTATGAAATAAGCTACGTTTAAAGTTAAGTTTAATCAAATTAATTAATTAATTATTTTTATTATTTAATTTTTATTATTTTAATGTAGAGTCGGAAACTTTAGTAAAGATATTAGCGATGGTGAGAATTACACCGTACTTCTCAATCAACTTTCTCCCGATCTTTGTTCACGCGACCCATTAAAAGAACCCGATCTCCTTGAACGTGCCGAGAAGGTAAGAATTATATATTTTATTGATTGCTCTCTCTTAACAATTTCTTAATATAATTTTCAATTTTCTTCAAAACTAGGTTCTTCAAAATGCTGAAAAATTAGAATGCCGTAAATATTTGACCCCAAAAGCTCTTGTTGGTGGTAATCCCAAGTTAAATTTGGCTTTTGTTGCAAATTTATTCAATACACATCCGTGTTTGGATCCACTTGACGAAGAGGAAAAGGCTGAACTTGAAGAATTCGATGATTCTGATGATAGAGAGTCAAGAGGTATTATAACGTCGTAAAGTAATTTCTAGCCTTCAATAACACTTGTTTTGCTAATTTCTCATTTGCTTAATTCCAGTTTTTGCTTTATGGTTGAATAGTTTGGATGTTACACCCGCTGTAAATAATTTGTATGAAGATTTGAAGGTTTGTACATAGTAAATTTACAATTTAGACACACTTTGATTAATAAAAATTATACATTTTTTTTAGGATGGTCTAATACTTCTTCAAGCTTTTGAAAAAATAAAACCAGGATCTGTAGATTGGAAAAAAGCAAACAAATCGGAAAATTTGTCACGATTCAAGCAAGTGGAAAACACAAATTATGCCATCTTAATAGGAAAATCTTTACGGTTTACTCTTGTTAATATTCAAGGTGCCGATATTTGTGATGGTACAAAGACTTTGGTACTCGGTCTTGTCTGGCAAATGATGCGTATAAATATTATTCAGACGTTAACAAGCTTATCAAAGGGTGGCCGTGAAATTACAGATGCTGATTTGGTGCGATGGGCGAACGAAACTGTTAAACGTGGTGGAAAATCTACAAAGATGAACAGTTTTAAGGATCCGACTTTAAGAAATGGTCTCTTTTTAATTGATTTACTGAATGGAATCAGGCCAGGTGTAGTGGATTATAGTTTGGTAACAAAGGGTATATCTGGTAAGTTAATTGTCGTACTCACAGTTATTATAATTATTTATTGTCGGGGGTGATATTGAAATTTTGGGTCTCTATTTAAAATATGAACCCCACTAAAACTCATATATACTCTTTGATTATAAACTCTAACCCTAAATACTAACCCAACCATTAAAAAAAAGCAAAAAAATAAAAAAATTTAAAATTTCATATTAAATTAAGTTCAAATTTCATCATCATCCCCACATTTATTATGATTAAAATTTAAAGTTTCTTGTATAAAATCCTTTTTCTAGTGGATGATGCTACACTTAATGCAAGATATGCTATTTCCATTGCTCGAAAAATTGGAGCTACAATTTTCTTATTACCGGAGGATATTGTTGAAGTTCGACCGCGATTAGTATGTATAATAAGTTGATCCATGAAATCTTTTGAATCATTAATTCAATTTATTTTATTTTTTATAGGTTTTAACCTTCGTTGGGAGTCTGATGTCTTTGGACAAGGCAGCTACTCCTTGATTTGATTAATATTTTTATTGAATCATAATTTTTTATTTATCGTCTATTTTATTGGAACCAACGTAAGAAAAAATGCATAAATAGAATATAAAATTGTACTGTATATGGTTTATTACTTCATTCATATTCAAAATAATTAAAATTTGTTATTACAAACAATCAGTACTTGATTTGCCTAATTTTATTTTACGTGGGCTGATTAAAAGACTACTGGACTATGAATTCTGTCTGTGTAATATAATTATTTAGCACGCATCTATCTTAATGTATTTTGTGGATCTCAAATTAATACCTTTATTCATATTATTATATCCTGACCCTACGTTACTACCAGTTAAAATTAGTTATTTACTTTTGAAATAGGTATATTTTTTGTGATAATTTAATTGTTTATTAGCAAATTTAAATAAGCAAAATTTTTCGTGAAATGCAAAATTGACAAAAGCTTTTACAAAAAATTTCAAAACTTTATTAATTATTAATCATAATTTCTTATGGGGATTATTTTTTATACCCCTTTAATTTATTAACCGTACCCCCCTGCAGATTTACCTTTTTTTTTTAAACTTTGAGCAAATATATCTTGGTAACTACTAGGCCAAATTTGACAAACGTTTTTTCTTTGAATTCTATAAGTTTATAGAATTCAAACAAAAAAAAGTTCATCGAATTTGGCCCAGTAGTTGCTGAGATATCATTGCTTAAAGTTTGAAAAAAATCAAAACATCTATCAAAACAAACTATGCAAAATTTTTTTAAACTTTGAGTGAAGATATCTTTGCAACTACTGGGCCAAATTCGATGAATTTTTTTTATTTGAATTCTACGAATCTGTAGAATGCAAATAAAAAAAACTTCATCGAAATTGACTTGGTGGTTGTCGTGACATTGTCGCTCAAAGTTTTAAAAAACCCCAAAACGTATATCAAAACAAGCTGCACCAAAATTTTCTCAAAATTTGAGCGAGGATATTACCAAGCCAATTTCGATGAATTTTTTGAATTCTACGAACCTGCAGAATGCAAATAAAAAAATTCATCGAAATTGGCTTGATGGTTGTCGAGATACCTTCATTCAAAGTTTTTAAAAAAAATCAAAACGTATATCAAAACAAAAGCTGCGCCAAACTTTTTCTCAAACTTTGCACAAAGATATCTCGCCAACCACCAAGCCAAATTCGATGAATTTTTTTTATTTGCATTCTACAGATTCGTATAATTCAAATAAAAAAAAAATTCATTGAAATTGACTTGGTGGTTGTCGAAATATCCTCGCTCAAAGTTTGAGAAAATTTTGGCACAGCTTTTGTTTTGATATATGTTTTGGGTTTTTTTAAAACTTTGAGCAAAGATATCATGACAATCACCAAGCCAATTTTGATGAAGTTTTTTTTATTTACATTCACAGATTCGTAGAATTCAAGTAAAAAAAATTCATCAAATTTGGCCCAGTAGTTGCAAAGATATCTTCACTCAAAGTTTAAAAAAAATTTGTAGTTTGTTTTGATAGACGTTTTGATTTTTTTCAAACTTTGAACAATGATATCTCAGCAACTACTGGGTCAAATTCGATGAACTTTTTTTTGTTTGAATTCTACAAATCTATAGAATTCAAAAAAAAAAAAAAATTCATCGAATTTGGCCTAGTAGTTGCTGAGATATAATTGCTCAAATTTTGAAAAAAAGTTAAATCTGTGGGGGTATGGTTAATAAATTAGGGGGGTATTATATACAGTACCCAGTGACATGGTTTTTTACATAGTGAAAAATTAAAAATTACATACATAACTTAATTGTTTATATTACATGGTATATATAAATAATATTTTAAAAAATCAATCTATATTATTTGTCATGCTAAATATATTAAGTCATAAAACTATATATATATATATGTTGTGCCTCAGATTAATGCTTGCGTCAGATGTCAACTTTTTGGCCCGCATTAACTGATCGATATTGATTGACTTAAATTAAGCCCAAATCCTTCCCAGATTCTTACCCTAACCCTAATCTAACTTAGGCCGGTTTTAATCTGACGCAAGAATTGATCTGAGGCACGACATATATATTGATCATATTAAATTGATATTACAAATTAAAAAAAAAAAAAGTTATTATAGATTTATAAATTTTAGCATTAGCCAATTTCAAGTTAATCCAAAGATAAAATGAGTAATCTTTTTTATTGATGGTATTAATGGTGTATTATTATCATATGATACTCATAATAAATTTGATATCAATCTGTTTGTATTAGTTTTAACAGATATGTATTATTTCACATATAGCATATATATATTATAAAATTTTTAAGCAAAATTATTATATAGATTATATGATTATTAGTATATGAACTACTACAATTTACATTATTATATATTATATTAAAAAATATGTAGGTAGATATATTGACCAATCTACCAATCTAACTAATTTTCTTTCTTCTAAGAGGATTTTTTATTTTATTGATCTTAGAATCATCATCACTTGATTTGGAAATAAGATTCATAATATAAGACATTATACTCTTAGTACTCGAAATAATCATATTCTAATTTTCAAAAAATAATATTATATCAATTAATATCTTTATATGTATTTAAAATTTCATGTAAAAACTTACCACATTATTCACAGATTTGTTGCAAACTTTAGTAATTCTTTAAAAAGCAAAGCTGGCATTGTTTAATAAGAGAACTTATTTTCTAGTTTGAAATAATATATACTAGCAAAAAGCATATACATACCGTATTCCTCCGAAAATAAGCACCCCTGAAAGTAAGCACCCCCTACAATTCATATATACTCGAAAATAAGCACCTCTTATATAATGGAAATAAGTAACTAAATATCAAATCATTTAAATTATTAGTTGAGATTATACCCGAAAATAAGCAACCTTATAGCAAAAAAGGGGTGCTTATTTTCAGAGGAATACGGTACTATAAATACTAGGAAAATGTATAGCATTATGGATCTGGAGTATATTATATGATTGAAAATTTGATGGTATATTTTGGAAAAAAAATTTGCCAAGCATGTTTATACATATATTTGTCGATCTGTGAATTGTGATTGGTTATATATCACGTGTGTGGACAAACAAACAAATATTTTTATCACTTTGCATAGAAATATAGAATCCTCTGCTATGCTCCAGACTAATAAAAGTTATAGTCTATATGGATTTATAAAGAAAATTAAAATTTATTTATAATAGTAATATTGAACTAGCTTATAAAATTACCATAAATCTGAATGCTATAAATTTTGATTTGTCTAAAGTCTTCAAAATTCCCTGTATACTTAACTCTAATAAAATTCAATATGATCTTTAATATCTTTGCAGTTTTGTTTCTGTCCTTAATATAGTAAGTATAGTCAAGACATGACAAAAATCTTAAAACTTCCAAAGTTGATATCTTAAAATCAAAATCTATCATTGTTATAATTGTATTAATTTTATTCCTAATGCATCATTGATTATTGTCTTTTAATTATTGGTTTAGCTGATCAGCAAAGCATTGCAGAGTTGATTCACCCCTGTTTAAATACAAGCTAGCAATATTGGTAATATTATTTAACATATTAAATTTTTGATTTAAATTTATCACTTACAGTCCAAAAACAATTGATCTTTAAATAGTATAGTAAAAATATAGAAAACAAACTTAATTATATAATGTTCTTCTGTTTAAATTTCTTTGAGACATTTTTGTCATTTGAAAACTATTTTAAACTATAGTAAAGAAAATGTTTAATATTAAAGCAAAATTATATTACAGTATATGAAGTATACAGTATACTTGCAATATTTCTATCAAGTTTAAAACTCATTTTTTCCATAATACATTTTCATTTTCCTGTAGTTTTTATACTTCGTTTTGATTACTTTATATAACTTTTTTGTAGTATTTTAATGAAATAAATATAAATATAAGGAATTATCAAATCAAAGTCTAACCTTCTCTACTTAGTATATTTTTTGATATACTTTTTAAATATTGTTTGACATGATCCACCTCTTTATTCTATTTTATGTCTTGGTTAATATGTAAGAAGATTCTAAAGCCAATGATGTTATATCAGAGCTAGATGTTAAAAATTCTTCTATTGTTTCAATAATATCACCCCAATACTTCTCAAAGAGATCTCATGCTTCTGTTGCTGAAAAACTAGTTGTATTAGAGCAATGTTATTTATTACCTGATTTTTTTTTATCAGAGGCTTACTCCCCCAGTTTTTAATATATAAATTATCAGATCTCATATATAAAATTCTAATTTTTTTAACCCCCCTCTAGAAAATCACCTGATAATTGTCAGCTCTCTTAAGAATATTAAAATATATTAGGCTATAAAAAAAAGATTTAGCATTTAGAGTATATATGTATATATACAGTATATCAATGAAATAATTTTAACAGATATATAAACTTTTGTTTATAAATTTTTTCAATAAATCTTGATGTGTGATGCCATTGTTCTATTTTTGATCTAATATATATATTTTTGACAATTAGTTTGCAGTTAATATCAACATCTTTGGAAGTATCATCTTTGAAAATATTATTTTTAGAACCATCATACTAAAAAATTTAATGTGAAGAGGTATATTGTTTAGAAAAATCTTGTTTATTTGACTCTTTACTACTGCTTTGTTGTTGAATCTGTAAGGGTGTGAAAATATCTGATGAAGCATTATATGGAGGAGTACGATTCTGTTTATTATTAGAATCATCATATAAAAAAATTCGATATGGAGAGTAAGTGGTTTAGAAAAATCTTGCCTATTTGACCCCATCTGCAAAAATATGAAAATATCTAATAAAACATTATCATTATATAATAAATTTTGATTTGAAATATGTAGTGGTTGATCCTGTTTATGTTGAGGAGAATCTAGAGTATGAAAATAATTACTTATTTTTTTGTTTGGTTTTGTCTCTTTATCTTCTTTCTAAAACAATTAAATACAAAATAATTAGTTCTACTAATTACTAACTTCTAGCTATAAAATGCAAGAATATATATATTTTCATGATTTTTTTCCATTTTCTTTTTATATTGAAAGCTCTACAGTCAACTCTTTCTTAACCAAACCTCTCTAAACCAAACTCTCTCTTAACCAAATCGAAAACTCTAAGACATTTATAAATTTTATTATAAAGTTCGGATAAGCTTATAATACCTCTTTGAAAACTGAACTAAAAACCCAAGAATGGGCTGTTCGGATAAGAAAGAGTTGACTATATTATTTATTCTAATTACAAAGCTATTTGTAACTTGTAGAACACGACCGAAAATCTACTAACTAACTTATACATCCTCTCCTATTGTCTTGCAACTTGAAAGTCAGAGTTAAAATCCTAGGCAATTTGAGATATTAATAATAAATATTCTCAACAAGTATACTCATTTTTTCATTTTATTTTCTCCTTATCAGGTAAACTAAGAAACTTTAGCATAACTAAACTAGAAGATTGCCTATGCCCCTGACAACACTAGTGCCAAGTAGACTAAGAGATTTAAGCATTAGCCAAACTAAGAGATTACCTGTATTTTCAACACTAGTACTGTAACTAAAAAAAAACTAAAAGATTCTTGTTACTTTTTGATTATATTTTATCTATATTTCTAACAAAAAAAATTACTTGCTTTCTGATAATATTTGTTAAAGAGCTATGCTGCTTTTTCGCTCCTTGCTTCTTGCTTAGAGTTTATAATATGCTTAAGGCTTTTCAGATATAAATCTAACTTTAGTTGTAATGATTCTTCATTTTTTTTGTTTAAATAGTCTGTAATATATCATTCGTTAAATCTTTGATTAAAATATTCATATATTTTGGCATTAGATATTATTACTCAAACATGTTGTCATACAAACCAAAAAAAGTAAATATTTTTTTTTTATTTTTTTATAAAATTTGGCAATTATGCCTTAATTTTATTAGGCTTTGTACAACTTATCTAGAATATGTAAAATTTTACAACTAAGTATTTCAGAAGATAAGTAATAAACTTTTAACTTGTTAGCAGATAGCATATAAGAACTATCTCTAAATGACAAGTGTTATAGCCCAAATTGTTATTTAAATTACAAGTTACAACTAACCCGGTTACCAACTTGGTACCTATATTCAACCTGCTATAGTAGGATTTTTTTCCTTCTGGACCTCTTTTGCAATTGGATATGACCCAGATTTCAACAGATAGTACCTACCGCCTGTCATGACCACCTCTTCCTTCTTTCAAACTTCTTTTATCTAAGCCTGATAATATAATTAAACTTTTATTCATATCAGACACAGGACATGTCCTCCTACAGGGGTTTAAAATGTTATTACATATAAATCAAATGAGTTGACTCACTTAAATTTATATATAAAATTTGATAAAAAAAATACTTTTCTTTAATTTACTCAAGAAAGTAAATATAAAAAATAATTTTAGATATGAGATTTATATTTTTTAGCATTTAATAATCCTTTAACAAAAGTTATAAAACTAAACACCAAGTAGTTTTAAAAGAATCTTGCTCTAAAGTTGGTGTATTTTTTGTTGTTACAACTCCTGTAAAATTAAAGCAATCCTTTAAAAATTAAAAAAGATTTTAAAAAAACTTGTAGAGGAGGTTTTTAGAATCTCAATGGTAGTTAAATCATCCAAATTGGCTTGGTGAATTCCAAGATACTTGGGGTTAAAGATGCAAATATAGGGATCTGCAAAGTCACTATTACACAAAGGACAATCGTCTAATAGATGATTGTCCTTCATGTAATAGTGACTTTGCAGATCCCTATATTTGCGCCTTTAACTCCAAGTATCTTGGAATTCACCAAGCCAATTTGGATGATTTAACTACTGTTAAAATTCTAAAAACCTCCCCTACAAGTTTTCTTAAAACTCGAAAAAACCTTTACTTAATAGAACCTTTTTTAATTTTCAAAAGATTGCTTTAGCCAATCATATTATTGTATTAAGTAAGTCAGTCATTTGACTTAAAGAACATAGAGAAGAATTAAACAACTTTAGTTTAAGATCCTTTTAAAACTACTTGGTGTTTAGTTCTATAATTTTTGTTAAAAAATCATTAAATACTAAAGAATATAAGTTCTATATTTAAAATTATTTTTTATATTTACTTTCTTAAGTAAATTAAAGAAAAGTGTTTTTTTTTACCAAATTTTACATATAAATTTGAGTGAGTCAACTCATTTGATTTATATATAACAACAACCAAAGGGACATGTCTTGTGTCTGATACATAAAAGTGAAAAAATAAAACCATGTTTATGAAAGACATAAACATTTTAGAAAAAAAACACCTTGTAGTGAGAAAAAAAACTATAAATTTTAAAATAATCTAATATAAATGAACAAAGATAGAAAAAGCGAAAAAAAAGAAAGATAGCCATAATATACTATTATAGCCTATACCAGGCATAAAGATAAAAATTATATAATAATTGCAACTAATTACTATATCTCAATTGTAAAAACTTTGTTTTAATCTTGGGACTCATTCCAAGTACATCAGCAAATTTAATAGGGCGTAATAGCGCAATAATTTACGAAGTGTAATAAAACCGTAATATTACGTAATAACTTTCGCAATATTGCGAAATATATAATTATGAAATATTACGTAAGATAATTACACAATATTACGCAAGAAATAACGCAATTTTATGCAAAATAATTCGAAATAATTCGAAGCAGATTAAAAAAACTAATGTGAATTATATCTTCGCCCAAAGTTGCAGAGAA